GTGAGCCACCGTGCCCGGCCTAGTACCACTTTTAACTATTTCTTTAAGTTGTTTTGATGGTCACCTGTATAACTCTACCTAATATGATTTTGGTTTTGTTTCTTGATTTGTCAAGACAAAACACTATTGATTTTGTACTTTGAAAGACAAAGAATTAGCTTACTTATACTGACTATGGCCTTTTTCTACTAATTTTATCATATTATTTTTAGGTCTTTTGTAAATTTAAATATATTTGAACCTCTATTTTCTTCCTTTTATGGTCTCCACCTACCTTCCAATTTTTTTCCCACAAGTAGAAGAGTTTCATTTTAAAACATTTTTAACCTCACAACTTTTTTTGTTTTTTTAAAGGCTCATTTTGCAAAACCAGTATATCCAGGACAAACTCTACAAACTGAGATGTGGAAAGAAGGAAACAGAATTCATTTTCAAACCAAGGTATGAATAATAGAGTTAGAGGTGCTTGCTTTGTAACCCTTTCACCATGCCCTGTTATTTTGTTCCATCTTGGCATTTTTTTGGTTAGTATTGTGGATTTGAGACAAAACTTAGAAAGTTGTTTTTAACCAATGGTAACTTTTAATTGAAAATAAGATGCACCTTGTCTTTTATTTTCTCTTTTATTTTCAACTAAATTGATACCTACATTGCAGTGACCCAGCCCATCTGAGATTCCAACCAACCATGTCTTTGTGGCTCAACCAGTCGACCAAGTCATTGTCAAAATATAATCTTCAAAACATTAAAGGCACGACTCAGACAGATTATAATGAAAACACAACAAAAGTGTATTTAACTCATTAATGAAGGATCTTGCAACATGATAAAACTGAAGAGAATTAGAATAACAGTTTACACAGATGAATATGAAAATCATTCTAAAATAACTTCTCTGAGTTAGAGACAAAGCTAGTTCATATCCTGCAGAACAATAAAATGGTATCCTTTATGGTTATCTTTTCTCTGGACAGAAATTATGTGTGTCTTGATCACACAAAATGCACAAATTAACATCTTACATCCCAGAGTCTGGGCCTAATTAATAGTAAATGACAAGCCAAGTAAAGCTATATCTCCCTATAGAGTTAACTAATTTTTGGGTGAGGCTCTTAGTAATGCTCCAATAAAATACTAAAAGTACATGCAATCATCATTTATTTGCAAGTTATTAAAAGGTAATTTTTGTTAATACAGTTGGTCAGATTAATACTTTTTGGCCTGATCGTTTTGTACTATATAGGGCAGATTAAACAACTCCAACAATAATACTAAGAGCTTCCATTTATTGAGAACCTATAAGACAATATTATTAGCTTTAATATGCATAATAACTATGCATTTAAATATAAGAAAATCTAGGTTCCTAAGAAAATCTAAATGTTATAAAGGACTTGGTCATAGTCACACAGCAAGTGGTTGAGCTGGGATAGAAAGCCAGCAGGGCTCCAAAGTTTAATCCCAGGGCCCTGACTTTCTTTACTGTATCATGTTTTCTTTCACAAATAGGTAACTTGCAAAATTCTTCTTATGTTGTTGCCTTACTCCTAATTCCTTCCTGCTGCTTGCAGTATCATTTTCCTGCTTAATCTATACATACTGCTTATTTTACTTTTCAAATTCCTCCTGTCTTTTAGGCTTCAGTATAAACTTTACCTTGTTTTAGAGACAGTCTCTTACTACTCCATTCTTTCTCACCCATACATAACACAAACATTGACATACCCTGAAATCCTCTTGCAATTTATCTGTGCCACACATTTTGGAGCCCTATTTTCTAATTATTTTGTAAAAATTTTATTTTTTGAATAAGATTATGAACTAAAAATATTGATAACTATGACCATTAACAG